GTTTTTTTTTTCAGTACAGGCAGTCCCCGGGTTACATGGATCCGACTTACATCGGATCCCTACTTACAAACGGGGTGAGGCAACCCCCGCACTAGCTGCTTCCCCCCAGCAGACCAGGGAGACGCAAAGCTAGCGCCCCCCCCCCCCCACCCAACCTGGGTCAGCAGACACCTCAGCTTGAGAATAAAGGCCTGAGGGAAGTGAGGTGTGGGAGAATAAAACTGAGCTCTGGAGAAATGTTTGGCTAGAGTTTCCCCTACAATATGTACCAGTTCCGACTTACATACAAATTCAACTTAAGAACAAACCTACAGTCCCTATCTTGTACGTAACCCGGGGACTGCCTGTACTGTTTTTTGCAGTCCAAAAATATAAGCTTGAGAATAAAGGCCTGAGGGAAGTGAGGTGTGGGAGAATAAAACTGAGCTCTGGAGAAATGTTTGGCTAGAGTTTCCCCTACAATATGTACCAGTTCCGACTTACATACAAATTCAACTTAAGAACAAACCTACAGTCCCTATCTTGTACGTAACCCGGGGACTGCCTGTACTGTTTTTTGCAGTCCAAAAATATAAACGCATATAAAAAAAGAATTAAAAATGAATAAATGTTCAGTGTTTCACCCAATTGTATCCTCCGCCCAGCCTGGGCCAGGGTTTAGGGGACCCGGCGCCACATGGGCACGCCAGGAGGCGGGAGCAGAAGCAGATTGGTGGGAAGGTATCTGCTTAGGAGGGAGGGTGCAAGGAGGGGTAGGGTTGCCAGATGTCCAGTTTTGTACCAGACAGCTCGGTATTTGAGGGTTCTGTCTGGGAACCAAATTGAGAAAATACCAGACATATAAAATGTCTGGTATTTTCTAATTAGGTAAGTTTTATTATTATTAGGTATATCAGTCCATAGCTGCGAACTGCCTGGCTGGTAGATGTGCTCACGCTGCGTGAGTGTGTCTACCAGCCAGGCAGTTCGCAACTACTTGAGGGAGGGTATGTGGGCGGGGTGGGGGCAAATCGGAATTACTGGGGCTGGACACACTCATGTGCCCGGGTCAGTCCCACTTCCCGCCGGCCAATTTGCTCCCCAACGCCTCATCTTCTCTCTCTCTCCCCCGTCCAGCCCTGCTTCCGGAG